ATATATATATATTTATATATATATATATTAAGAGAGAGATAGAAGTGAACTATAATCAATAGTGTGTCTATCACCTCTTCTTCATGAAATGATATCTCTATCTATAAGAGAGAGTAGAACATTGTGATGTTACATTTATGAGCATGTTGCTTGGTTGGTTAAGAGAGCATAACATGGTGGATGTACTGGATATTCTAGGTATTTTACATATTTGAGTCTATTACTCGGTTGGTTAAGAATGTTTAACTTCAACTCGGTAAGGCTTGTTTGGTCAGCTAGGTTAAGTCGGCATTGTTGGTCAGCTGACTTTGCTTCAGGTCGACCAGATTGGCTTGATCAGCTATGTTTTATTGATTGATTGATCAAGCCTTGTTGTCGACCCTCAATCTCTGACGAAGAACTTATGTTAGTTGAGCAACGCTAAACCATGAGCAATGGTGAATCATCATAACCCAATAAGCAGTTCGCTCCTCGACGAGAAGAACATGGGGATGGCAAAGACTTCTTGTTGCCTATTTTGTTAATTATTCATCTATGTTGAGAAGCTTCGAGGGCATCCGTTAGATGATTTGTGATATTAAGAAGCTGGATCTTTCCTCGAGACGGATCTGTTGGCAGATAATCGATTGTATCAGGAATGCTTTCTAATAGGGATTAGTCGAAGGTGTGAACAACTGGATTTGGTACTCTTTGTGGCTTAATCAGCTTTAACTTTACTTGCTTTGGCTTTAACGCCTACATCCAATCGGGTAAGTGAACCTACTAATTTTCCACGAATGAACCCTCCATTATCATACATTCTTCCTTCCAAACTGTTAGATTTCCCAAGAAGCAATACTACCATATTCTTATGTACAGCTATATAAACACAAGAGAGTTGTGTGGCATAAATGTAAACAATCTAATAATTAATTAATAATATTAAGATAAAACAAGTAATTAAAAATATCTACACTTTAATTGCAATTTTCATCAAGTAATTTTGATTGGAATGCGTTTTACAGCTAGCCATGATACAACAGCTCAAAGATTATATCAACAGGTGTCATCTAAATTCGTTGATAGACCTGCGATTAAATTATCCATGCGTTATATTATTTGGGCATTATATTTCATATAGAAAAACTAATGTGATACAGAAATATGGATGTGATAGAGATAAGACAAAATCCTAGGATGACAGCTAATTAAGAAAACGACCGATAAGACAATGCTTTTCATGCCATAAACCTAGCTGAAGTCTACATAGCAATGCTTTGGTTGCCATGTATGTAAGGGGAAAAAAAAAAGACCTTAAATTTCTTCAAGAAGAAAAAGCCCTATCTGTTGTTTGGGTTCAAGAATTTGTTAACATAATCAGAACCCAATCAATCCATTTTCTACTATCCCTTCCCTCCATTCTCACCTATTCCCATCTACTCCTACAAGAGCTCTCAGCTGCTTGTATTCAGAAGCAGCAAACTTCATTTATAAAAAAAAATAATAATAATAATTTCAAATTAAATATAAATATATATAAATAAGTCAAAAATTGAATCCAAATCCTCCAGGAAAACCTCCTCCTGGAAATCCACCTTCAAACTGGAAAGTGAACTGCTGTCCGCCGCCACCGCCGCCGCCAAACGGATTAAAACCAGCACCTCCCATGTCCATTCCCATGTTTTCTAAGTCTTCTCCTCTGTCATATCTCACACGCTTCTCATCATCACCAAGAACCTTACGAAAACATATAAGAAAAAAAGATCAGCTGTGTCACATGGAATGAAGAGATGAGACTAATAAAATATTATATTAAGCAAGTTTAGCATACACAGTAAGAAAAAAATATATAAAATGCATAGGCCATATGACATTTTTTATTAGTCTATGTGATTATATATGCATGCATATATTATGATAATAATTTCGTAAGCCTTTAATAAATAATTATTCTTAATATATACTTATGTGCAAAATTATTAATTTTTAGGACTCCGTTATGTTTAAAACATAGTAGTTGACATCAATTAATCTATTAAAACATTTGGGAGTGTTGTAGCCCACCTCAAAGAAACTGCTTCTATTAAGAGATAAGTGTATCCTTCCTAGTTAGGGGTGTTAATCCTTGCTAATTATATTGGCTCTCTAATTACTTTATAAGGATTGCCAATCCTACTCTTGCTATCCAGTTATATTTCTTCTTTTGCACTGGTTATAAGTTTCATTTAATTCTAATGATTAAATTACTCGCTGTCTTACTCATCATTGCACAACTCCCGTATATGTGAATAAATTCAGCACTTCATAAGATTCTCTCCTCCTACACTTTACTATTATAAATTGCATATAGATTTCTGTCATATCATAAGTTGGTGTGAAATAGTATATTACTTGGACGTTTATCTATGATAAAACTTTTGTATGCTTGTGTATATGATGGTATGTAGGTCGGTGAAATGCTTTTCTATATGAGCTAGTCGGTCCAACAAACCCATAAAGCTGTGACTCTACAGAAAATCATCGCATTTTCATGTTGGTTGGTATTAGTCTTTCAAGTTACAGGTCGAATGTTAAAACCGACCAAATAAATATGGATGAGAAGTAATAAAATAATTGATCGAATTTGAATGTTTTATGATGTTATATATGCATGTAGTAATCATTCATATTTGTTACTCACATTACATGACTAATTTTTATTGGCATTTATGCTTTAATAAATAATTGTTATTTACTCGTTTTGCTTGTCAAACTCACTTGTTGATATGGTGGTATAATGGGTTTTTATTCAACCACCCGGCTTTAATCTAATTTTGTTGTTTTCAAATTCGCACAAGTTATTGTATTTTTTTTTCTGGATCTGAGTAATTGTGTACTTATTTCCATTTCAGTTTCTTTTAAATATCTCTTTTTCTTTCATTTGTATCGATTGGACTATTAAATATGAAATAAAATTTAGTTTTCAATATTTTTTATTATTACTTGCATACCCATTTTCTTTTAAGAAAACAAAATAGGTTCAATTATTTTCATCATGTTCTGCATTGTCGGGATATACCACCTTCCGAATTCGGAGTGTAGCAAAGTGCATTTAGGATAGTTTTTCATAACTTCATTTTTATAGAAAATAGTCAATTTTTTTAGTGGGTACAACTTATTTGCTAATAGAACATCTTAAAAAAAGAACTAATAGAGATTATTGTTTGCCTCAAGAAAAAAAAAATATTAACTTTCAAAAGCTCTATATTTCAGACAACTCTATTACTAATTTTACATAAAAGCTACAGCCATCCCAAACAGCCCCTAATGCTTTCTCTTAAAACAGATTGAATCTTAAAAGATTTTATTGATAAAATTATATGTACTTACCTCGTATGCAGCAGCTATTTCACGAAATTTAGTCTCCGCTTCCTCTCTGTTTTCAACGTTCTTATCTGGATGCCATTGCAAGGCAAGCTTTTTGTAGGCACGTTTGATTTCTGCAATAGAAGCAGTTTTTGATACTCCAAGTATCTTGTACCAGTCCTTGCGTTTACTCAACTTCAAAGCCTTTTCAGCTCTATGAAGTGCTTCTCTGATATTCATGTCCTGTAAATTAACGACTATTATAAAGAAACTCAGCATGTTAAGAAGAAATCCTTGTACAAATTCTATTTAACAAACTTCAGAAAATTCCATTGAGAAAGTAGTAAATGGAAAAGCTAATAATAATATCGATTTCTTAATCAGCAAATGATGTTTAAAACTTCAGAAATTGCACATGTTTGATACAAAGGGCTATAATTTTCTTAATGACAACACAGGGTATTACTATAATTTAAGAGGATTTACATGCATACCACACAGTTCTAAATTCTTATAAGAGAGGAGTGTCAAAAAAAATCCCCCGACTATTTGCAAACAGTCATCCTAGTCCAAAGTATATAAAAGTGTCAATTTAGTCACTAAACTCTTATAATATGGGCTGAAGTGGAGACTATTTTAGCTCCAATTTAAAAGAGTCTACAGACTAGTTAGACATTTTAAGCATTTTACAAGCGCATTATCCATTTTACCCATCTTAGACATAAAAAATGATATGTCTAATTGACATTTTTTTCCAGAACTTTCAGCATATGTGGCATTTTTAAGCAGCATTCACCAGGCATTGGAACAAAGAAACATAAAATGATTTAGTGACTTTCAAATTTCATGCCAACTATTATATGCAAACCTCTGGAGATTTTTTAGCAGCTGCTTGCAAATCCTCCACAGCCCCTTCCCAATCTTCTAATATGAGTTTGGCTTCACCACGCTGTGGAAGAAAATTATAACATCAAAATAAAAGCAAAGTATGTGAAAAAAAAATGGTAACATTAATTAAATATCTCAAACAGTCACGTGCCATAAAAGACGGTATCATGGCGCTATGTGCATTAGAAAATACAAGGGAAATTTACAGACGCAGCATACAATTCTTATGTATTTACATATCTCACAACTAAACTCACATATTTACATAGCACACAATTCTTATGTGATAGGAGAGTTATACCTATTTAACAATAACACGCAACATTACAATAATGAATGCATACTTCAAGAAACGAGAAAAATAGATTGCAAGAAGAATGATGAGAGAGTGTCATAAATAAACTTCTTATAACTTATAAATACCTCGGAAGTGCCACGCCATAAAAGAATGTCATGGAAACTTAGAAATACAATGTAGGGGATTTTAAGTTGCAAGAAAAATGATGTATTGTATTTCTTTTGCATAAATTTTACAAATTTTGGTGTTTTGTTTAACAGCAAAAGAAATGCAAATTAAAATTTCGAAATATTGAAAATACCCCAAAAGTGTTATTTCACTAAATTTCAAAATTGCTTAAAACATTGGATATTGAAATCACAAATGCGTTGCTCATAGTCCTCACACGCAACCGATGAGTCTAGCTTCTATCCAAGCATTTTAATGCTCTAAATAACAAGCTTCATAGGCTCCTCATATTCTCCCCTCATTGTCATTTCCACCACAAGCTCGCCCACCTCGCTCCTTAGCGTAGTTCAAGCTTCCGACTTCAACTCACACCTCTACAACGCTCTGTCCTCGTGCCTTTGCGCTGTCAACAAGATATATGACAGGCCACTCAAACTCATTTCCCCGGATTACCATCATAGAGCCACCTCCACCAGATTCTATTTTCCTCTCTAGCCACGCCATCCCCTTCATTTCAGCTCTGAATCCCTCCCTCTCTGGATCTGCTTCCCCTCCAAATTTGACTTCCCCACTGCTCTTAATCTGACTTTCCCTCCCTCTTCACTCTAGTAAGATCTGTATTTTTTACGTTGCAATAAATCAAACAAAGAAACATAATTTACTAAAATTTATTTTACAGTCAACTAAACAGTTTAAAATAACCAGAATACAATGTATTTAATCAACTCTAAATTCTTAAAGTGCATACATCTTGAAAACATGTAGCTGAACAACCCCTTAATAAAATTGTAATTATGCCCACTATGCTGTAAGGATCTGAACGTTAGAAAGGACGCCACAAATAAACAAGTTGATCATGGAATACATATGCATGATCCAATGGATGTATGACAAGCCCAAGAAGGATAAATTTAGAAGTGATTATATTATGAGAATAACGAGGATAATACCTAATGAAAGTAAGATAGTGGAAATAAAATTGGGGGATTTCAGCAAACACACAAAGGGTAGAAAACGAACAATTAAGAGAGATACATTGAAGTAAAACTCAACAAAAATGAATAGAGAATGAGGATTCATAAGCCAACACTAAATAGTTCGGAGAAGATGGTTAATTGTAGTAAAACTTTACGGAGATGAGGCTGGCATGGGCAAAATCAAAATATCTCTCACAAACACAACTGTGGTTACCCAGACCCCATAAGAGTGTCACAATCCATTGGGTGGAATGCATCTAACCTAGTTCTTCAGAGGTTCCACGAGTCTTTTGCTCTTGCAATTACAAATTATCATCATTTTACACATAGCACTACTTTGCGAAGGTCTTGTCAATGGAACCCTAAAATGTTACAAACAAATAAGAGAGTTAAAGACGAGCCCCATTTGTTGAAGGTTGTTGATTCATTTGAAAATGAAATGAAAGAAACGACCTCTAGGAGAGAAATACATTGTATCCGGCTCCTCCTCTGAAATTTCTTTTCAAGGAAGGGGTCTATTATAGAAGGTTAATCAGAAAAAAGCGCAACTCTGGCACTTAATCAGGAAAAGTTTAACTTCCTGAAAATTACTTCCTAAAATCTAAGCAAATAAACAGTATGGCAGAAGATTTTAAACGCCTAGGGGATTTAAAAGGACTAAAGAAATCTCTCTCAAGAAGCATATGCTTACAAAATAAAGAGATTTCATTTTAAGCAAAACTCATGATCAACAACACAGTAAGCTGATAAACAAAAGGAAGATTTACATACATACCATTCAATTCCTCCGTATTTACATATCTGACACCTAAACTTCAACTTTCACATACATGCCATCTTACCTATGCATGAAAAGGTGTTTTTCAACTTTTAAAAGTCAAAATGGTGGTATTTTTTATGTGATATGAATTATTTGGGTGGTATTAATGTAAAAAAAAGTGACATTTAGGTGTTAGATATGTAAACAAATAGGAATTGGATAATATGTACGTAAATGTCCCTAAATAAAACCACAGCTATTCTATTTCTATCATCCAAAAACTAGTTCATGAAAGTGTGGTGCATGATTTATTGCGTAATTTTAGTAGAACTAAAGATCTAACAAATGATCGGAGATTCTAACCTGAGCCAAGGCTTCCGCAAGCTCTTCATCAATGTTCAGGGCTTCTGTGCAACTATTTACCGCATCCTTTCCTCTCCCAAGCTTAACCAATACCTTGCATAAACCAAGGTAAAGGTTTACATTATGTGCAGTATGAATAGGGTCCAATGCAATGGCTGACTTGAAATCTTCCACGGCAGCACGTAATTTTCCCTTCTCAGCATTATCTTCTGCCTGCAGCATGCCGATGTGATAAAAAGATACTGTTAAAAAAATAATCATCTGTAAAAGATAATAAAACAAGAATGATAATAAGATCAGAGATATATTTGTACGGAAAACCTACTAATTTTGTCTTCTTAAGCAAATTTTTCAATCCAAAATAAGCTTTCTTTAGTTCGCTGTGCTCCGGGTCAAGACGAAGTCCCTTCTGGTAATGCCTATACAGCACAACAATGACCATAATCAAACATTTAAATATTGCATTTTTATTGTTCAATATGAATTGATTTTAGATGTCATTTTCTTCGGACTGTTTCACTCAAGCATATGTTGGGTTAAACAATGAAGCCCACAAACCATAAAAACAACCCTTTAGAAAAGCTAGGCTAAGGGCTTCTTAAATTATCCACTTAAGGATTTTATCAACTAGAGGAAAAGAGACAGGATAAACCTACTTCCCTATCATGGGGTGACATTTTTTTCATCTTTATCTTCACTTCTGTCTCTCTTCCTTCCTTGTTAATTTAAAGAACCAATAATAAAAAAGCTTCACTTAGCATACTAATTAACAGCAACCTAGCGATTAGTTCATTGATGTTAAATGAATTTATTAACGTTGCCATAATTATTAAACAATGGTTACATAATAGGAACAATAATGCACTTTTATATTAAAAATCACTTATAACTAACGGATAAGAAAGTGAAAAAGCACTCGGTAGATTTAAGTAACTATGAGCAGGTATTGAGCTTGTAATTGGTTACCTAATTAGTACCTTAATTCCAACTTTAACAAAAAGTTTGATTGTTATCCTGATATTATTAATCTACACTAAGTTTCTTAATTCGATTATTACTTGTAACCAAAACTAATGGTTTATTTAAGACACTAATCAGTAATTATATCTAATACTTAAGAATTAGGAGTTACACCACAGGTTCGAAAGATGGTACGCCCCTGCAACACAGGGCATGATGAAAAGAATTGAACTTATTTTGTATTCTTAAAAGGAAAAGGATATGCAAGTAATAACAAAAAAATAATAATAAAATTAAATTTTTATTCCATAAATAAGGATACAATCAATACAACCAAGGAACTAAAATAAAAATAAAAAATAACTAAATAGCCCAGAAAGAAAATACAATAACTCTTACAAAATTGAAAAAAGTACCAATAGAAAATTTAAATATGGAAAGTAAGCTCTGATGGAGATGGCCAGGTAAGTGGCAAGGTGAAACTTGTTATATAAAAATATCAATGGTTAAGTTTAAAAATCAAACTCAGTAAATAATTATTGTTTATTAAAGCATAAACAATAACAAAAATGGGGCATGTAGTATGACCAATAAATATGAACAATTTACTTTATGTATAAATGAATTTGCAAAGACTATCACATGCTTATGATCTTGAATAGAAGTCACTTGAACACAGACACATTTAAGTAGGTATTTATATTACTGCAACATCAGATATTTTTGCCCATAAATAACTCATCAATCATTTAACACTGCTGATAATATAAAATTTCAGTATATACATACATATACATAAAATTATATTTATATCTAGTTGGTTTACTACAACACCTTAAAAAAAAGATTGGTATGCACCAATCCCATGAAAATCCACTGATTTCTCTAAAGGAACCGTCGGTCCGACTAGTCATAAACAAAAGAGTTTAATGCAGATATAATAATATTATAATATTAATTATATTTTATACATCACAATCAACATAAGAATATAAGTACAAAATGTTTACTTGTACTTTGTAACAATTTATGAAACAAAAATAATGTAATTTATCACATAAAAAATATGAAATAAATAAATAATAAATATTGAACTCATTAAAGGTGAACAATAAAACATGAGGCTAAGCACGAATAAAACAATGTTGATTACCCATTAATGTCATTATAAACAAAAATGTAAACTACTGCAATTATGTGAAAAATTAGCTAAAAATCTAATGCAATTAGCAAGGATAACATCTCTAACTAGAAAGGGTACGTTTATCCTATAATAAAGATCAATTACTTACCTCGAGACGATAAATGTGATACTTCTATAAATTCGACGGTTTGATCCTACATTAATTATAAGGTAAGATGTGGTTATTCCTTAGGTATAATATAATCAACATTCCTTATTATGATTATTATTATTATTATTGTTCTTACTTTAATATTATTATTATTATATTTTTAAAAGAAAGAATTTAGGAAGGTTGACCTACTAATAATATATTCTTTTATTTTAATTTGATAAAGAAAATAAAAATTAATTTCAAAATAAATTTTATTACAGAAAGTTATGTGTGTAAAATAACATAATCCTACCCTTCTTAATCATGTTTCTCCTCTTGTTAGCCTTAAATCTTGGATCGATCAGGCGATGGATTCAAAGGATTCAGCGAGGCTATTGCGAGCGAAAGATGAAGACGAGGTTTACTTTTGAACGGAAGGAGGAGAAAGGTAGGAGCTTCGGAAGCCTTGATATGCCACAATCTCGTACTTGCCTTGTCACCTAGCTCTAATTTGCAATTGTATTTCCAATGTTCAGTCACCAGGCGAAGGCTTTTTGTGAACACATGAGAGGAAGAGCTAGATCAGATGGATGAGGTGACGGCCTTAGCCAAGGCGTTAATCATCCCTAAATAGCCCGGTGAGGCAGTAAACAGGCGAAGAAAAGGAAGACGACACAGTGAATCAAGAGAAAAAGGAAACAAATCGCAAGTTCGAATTTGGAACGCAGTGGAAAAAGAAAAGGCAAAAATCGCATGATAGAAGTAAAAGAAAAAGATTTTGGTTCTTACATACTACCGTCCTTAAAAAAATTTGATCCCCAAATTCATATCAAAGATTACATCAATTCAACTATTGGGAAAATTTTTGAGTGTATCAAGTATATGCATTTTGTTAATAACAACTCACAATCATGAAACTATTGAATGACATACAAGAATGAGACATCGCTAATGCGATATGTGAAAGTATTGAATAAACTAATGTACTAAATGCAAGTTGGTATAATATGAATGAATGTGATGTCCAAAGGTTAAACAATTGCCCTTGTCGGTTGCTTTAAAATCAAGATAATATTTGTCACCCCATCAGGAGCTTCATTGGTTTCTTGTTGAGTCGTAACAAATGCCCTAGGTGGAATCACTTGTTTGGGTTGCTATGGAGCCTAAGATTAGTGAGGCCAGTACTGCACCATTTAAGGATTTTGATATGTCAGGGGCGGTTGTTGATGTTCTTGGTATTACAAGCCAAGAGGAAGTTGTTGATATAGTTGAGACACCATCACTTGTTGCAACTGTTATTGCGGTTGAAACTAGTATTGACCTGTCTGTCCGTTTTCACTTGTTTTTGGTTTCAACCTTTATTACATTTATGACACTCATTCTTATGGTGCTTATCATTGGTCTTTTGGTTTACGGTAGGCTTAGTTTAGGATTGGTGTTTTGGCATTTAAAACACTTGCCAATAGTTATGTTGTAAGGTCCAGAGTGTCTCTTCCCGCAATAAGAGCAACTAGATTTGTTCTTAGGTTTATCTTTCAGGTGCTTCTTTTGTGGTTCTTGCACTAAAGCAACAGTATTTTTTTGTTTTGCGATAGTGTTTCTTCACGCAAAATCAAATCTATCTCAGCATGTATGGCTCGATCCACTAACTCTCTGTAGGTAGCACACTTGATAGCCGATAGGAGGCTTCAAATGTCTTTTCTCAAGCCAATAAGTAGACAATAGATCTTATGATCTTAATGTTAATTAATTGAACGAATGAAACGAACTATCCTGGCAAGTCAGTCATGAGCTTGGCCCGATCCACTAAAGAGAAATATTACTCCAGGAACAGTCTCTCGAAATCTGTCCAGGAAACTATCTTGTCTGGTCCAAACGTGTTTCGACATCGAATGTCTTTTCTCAAGACAATAAGTTGGTGGTAGATATTTTGATCTTAATGCTGATTAATCAGATGAATGAAACGAACGATCCTGGCAAATTGTGTCTCGTACTTCCGAACGGTCTTCGCTCCTTGCTCCAACTTCCTCAAGTCAGTCATCAGCTTGGTCTGATCTGCTAAAGAGTAATATTGCTCCAAGAACAGTCTCTCGAAATATGCCCAGGAAACTATCGTGTATAGTCCAAACGTATTGCAGTGATGACTTTCCCACGAATCATCAACTCCTTAACGCAATTGAAACGTCGCAATGTCAACCTTACGGTCTTCAGGGCACTTTACTCTTCAAAGTTTCTTCTCGATATCATTCAATCATGCATGCGACTCAATCGAGTCCACCGTGTCATTGAAGGTAAGAGGGTGAGTCTTCAAAAACTGATCCATTACTCGACCCATAGCACTCACATTGGTCATCTCCATTGGTTGATATTGAACCTCCAAGGCAGCCACCAACAGTCCCGGCTGAATGGCTTGTAGTGCTGGTTGCACTGTTTCCTGGATAGCTAGGACCTCTTGTGCAATTTAGGCTGTAAAACTTGCTCGTAACACTTGGGTAACATTCTGTGTTACCACCTCCACGAGAGTTTCCTTGTTGAGATTTTGTGCACTAGTATTCTCGTTGATTTGAGCAGGATCAACGCGACGACAATTAGGAGAGCAAAGACCCCTAGGAATAAGCGCGTCATTTATAATAACTCTCTGGACTCCTCTTCCACTAGCAGTTGCAGCACATTTTCTTCAGAGTCATTCTAAATAATTGAAAGATACACGAAATCAAAATCGATTGAATAACTGACTAAGAGGAATACTCGATCCCCTATCCAATCGTAAGAAAACGATATGTGAAATGCAAAGACAAGGGATGTGAAATGCAAATATAAGAGAAGTGGGATGCAAGAATAAAGGATATCAAGTACAGAATACAAGGAAAATTGGATACAAAAGAATAGAATGTCTTGTATTCTTAAAAGAAAAATAATATGCAAGTAATAATAAAGAGAAATAAAAGAATTTAAAAATTTTATTTCATAAATAAGGATATAACTGATACAACTGAAAGAAACCAAACAAAAATAAGGAAATAACTACCAAACCCAGAAAGAAAATATAATAACTCATACGAAATTAAAAAATATCAATAAAAAATCTAACTCTGGAAAGTCTGCTTCGGTGGAGATGGTCCGATAAGTGGTTTGGTGAAACTTGGTATATAAAAAATATCTAATGGTGAGTTAGAAAATCAAACTTAGTAAATAATTACTATTTATTAAAATATAAAAAGTAAAAGAAATGGGGCATGCAATATAATTAATAAATATGGACAATTTAATATATGTATAAAAAAAATTGCTAAGACAATCACATGTACACATACACGTTTAAGTAGATATTTACATTCTGCAATATCAGATATTTTTTCCCATAAATGACCCATCAATCGTTTAACACTGTTGATAATATGCAATTTCAATATATACATATTTATACATATTATTATATTTATATCTAGTCGGTTTACAATGACGCTCTAAAACAAAGAAAGGTAGGCACTAATCACATAGAAATCCAATGATTTCTCCGAAGGACCCATCGGTCCGGCCGGCCATAACAAAAATGTTTAATACCTGCATAATAATATTATAATATTAATTATATTTCATGCATCACAATCAATACGATAATATAATTATAAAATGTTCATTGATATTTAAAGTTAATTTATAAAACCGAAATAATGAGATTTCTCACATCAAAGAAATGAAATAAATAAATAATAAATATTGAACTCATAAAAGGTGAACACTAAAACATGAGGCTAAGCACTAATAAAATAATGTTAATTACCCATTAATGTCATTATGAACAAAAATTGAAATTACTGCAATTATGTGAACAAGATTTGAAAGGTATGAATCACAACCCTAAAATTAGCTAAAAATCTAGTATAATTTACGAGGTAACGCCTCTAACTAGAAATGATATGTTTATCCCATAATAAAGATCAGTTACTTACCTCTATATAGCAAATGTGATAATTCTATAAATTCAACGGTTCGACTATCATAATATTATTATATTTTTAAAAGAAAGATTTTATGAACGTTGACGTGCTTATAATATATTCTTTTATTTTAATTTGATAAGGAAAAGAAAAATTAATTTCAAAATAAGTTATATTAGGGAAAGTTATGCGTGTAAAATAACACAATACTACCCTTCTTAAATCATGTTTCTCCACTTATTAGCCCTGAATCTTGGATCGGTCGAATGATGGATTCACGAGTTTCAGCAAGGCTGCTGCGAGCGAAGGTAGAAGACAAGGCTTCCCTTCAAACAGAAGGAGGAGAAATGTAGGAGCTTTGAAGGCCTTGGTATGCCACGATCGCGCCTTTGCCTTCTCACCTAGCTCTAATTCGTGATTGTATTTCCAAGGTTTAGTCACTAAGAGAGGTTTTGTGTTAACACAAGAGAGGGGAAGAGAGAAATCGGATGGATGAGGTGATGCCCTTAACCAATGCGTCGATCCTTCCTAAATAGTGTGGCAAGGCAATAATCATTAGGGGTGTCAATTCGGGTTAGTGTCACGAGTTCAGGTCCGACCCGAAAGTGACCCGACCTGAATAGGGCCACAAATAGAACCCAAATAATAAACGGGTCGAAAACTAAGACCCGAACCCAAGCTTTACCCGCTAACCCAAACTCGACCCGAACTTTTGTGCTTATTCGGGTCATTTTTATATTTTCGGGTACAACCTGAACCCTACCCAAATAATAAACAGGTCGAATTTTCTGGCTCGAACCCGACTCGAAAATTTTTCGAATCGGGTTCGAGTCTTTTTGCTATGTCGGGTCAATTTTTGACACCCGTAGTAAACTCGCGAAGAAAAGGAAGGCAGCACAGTGAATCAAGAGAAAAAGGAAACAAATCGCTAGTCCGAATTTGGAAGGCAGTGTAAAAAGGAAAGGGGAAAATCGAGTGATAGCCAAAGTAAAAGGAAAATAATTCAGTTTTTGGATTGGGACCCTAAATGCAAATTGAATTAAAATTGATTGAATGGTCTTCAAATCAACTATTTAATGAGAACTATCAGCTTAATAACGCAGTAAGCCTTCTAAGAAAAGATTCCTTCATTAAGTAAACCTTAATAATATAATAAATGACCTAATAACTAATTAATTAACTGGCAAATCTACAAACGTTAATGATGCAACAAATCCACTCAACAGTGGGCAGTCAACTATAAAAGCATTGTTTTATAGCCAAAAGGTTAATAATTAAGCTGTGATAATCTTCTACTTGAAAAAAAGTACAAACTATAATGAAGTCCTCAGCTTCTAATCTGCTTTCTCAACATAAATTAGATAATATATTCCCACTTAACTACTAAACAGCAGTTTAGGCACTGAATTCAGCTAGCATTAACTTTCTATATCCCAAATGTTCTTGAAAATGTTGTTAGCCGGCTCAATAAGTGGCCCATGAGCTGAGCTCGATGAGCTAACAAGCCAAGCTCAAGCAAGCCCCGACTCAACTCAATAGGTAGTGAGCCAACTCATTTAAAAAAAAAATTATCATAAAATATACTCAAAATATATTAAATTTGAATACTTTATCTTTAAATTATATAAAATATTTAGAAATTGATATTTTACATTTTACATCAAATGATTTCTTATTATTCATCTCCTAGTTGCTCATTTTATTAACCAGTTTATAACACTAGCTTGAATTAATATTATTTTCTTTCTTTCATAATAGAAAAGCCGGCTTTCATAATAGAAAAGCCAGCTCAAACTCATAGAATTAAACTTTAGCTCGAAACAACTCATTTACACCCCTATTAGAGGAATAAAAGGAAAATTGCTTCAAAATCATAGGTTTTGTCACAAGTTTAAGTGTTACATTAAGCTAATACTCTATATTCCAACGCAATATTAAAGAAAACTGCAAATTAGCATAAATCAAATTTAGGAATCTGCGATGTTGAAGAAGTAAACCTTGAAGCAATGTCATGATCAGCCAGATAATAGTATGCACGGCCACGTAGTAACAATGCATCGAGATCGTTCTCATCTTCTTTAAGTAGATAACCAGTTTCTGAGATAGCGTTTGAGTAGTCCTTCAGAGCCAAAAGCAACTTAACTTTAAGAAGCTTCGCCTGCATAGAAAAAAACGCCTGAACAATCGCACATTTAAGCAATGACTAAATAGCCTAGGAAAATTTGCATGCATACCATACAAATCATTTGTATTTACATATCTAACACCTAAAGTTTGATATTTACATTTATAATATTTTGGTGTCATGAGCCGATGCATGGAAAGTGTACTTCACTTTAAAAATTTTAATAGTGATGGTATTTTCTATGTGATATTAAAGATTAGAGTGTTATGCATGTAAAAATGGACGTTTAGTTGTTAAATATGTAAATACATAAGAATTGTATGGCATGAATGTAAATGCCCCAAGAACCTGAGCAACAAACAATGCACCTTCAGGCAATCAGGAGAGAAAATAAGGACAACTTTGTCAATATACTCCAAAGCTTTTGAAAAGTCACCAGACTCGAAGAGATTCTGTGCAGAGTCCAGTGCATGTTTGGCTTGTGACAGTTGAGAAAGCTCTTTCTCTACTGAAGCTCTGGGGTTAAGCTCCAAAGCCTTTCTGTAGTTATTTTCAGATTCCTCAAATCTGCAACAATAAAAGAATTAAATGAGAAACAAAAAATTATAGTTTAAACCATCTACATAATTCAAATTATCAGTTATTTTATTTTGTAATACCACCGGAAAAATTGTCTTGACGCTTAAGATGTATTTTCAGTCATATCATACAAAATTATATTTAAAAAGTGCTAATAGAATAAATAAATAATATGTTGTTTAATGAAGCTGTGAGAGTATAAATGGCATCAGATTCAACAAAAAAGGATTTATGCAGATTCAGTAATGAATAATTTCTCCCTTTACATATAATTACATAAGAAGATGGCAAGGCTATTAGGATTCCATAAGCCATTATTTTGCTGTTGAGAAATAGCAACAATTTCTAAGACATTTACCATCACTTAAAATGTCAAAGGAATTCAATGATTCAAGACTGAAAAGGTAAAAATTTCTTTTCACAAAAAACATCAATGAGGTGAAGTTCAGTTTCATACCAAAAAGAAAAAAAAAAGTATATAATTTTGATTTGGGGATCAAATAATAAAAAAATGATCAATATGACCGTACACTTCAATAGTCCATGAGAAAATACTTCTCTACTTATTTGAGCATGAGATCATCAGGAGATTGGGCGATCATGTTCATTGAATTTTAGGACTTGTTTGGGATTACTTTTATTTTTTATTTTTTAATTTGTTTTTTTTTTAAATATGTTTGTTTAGTGTACTTTTTTTGCATGTTTTTATTTTCGTTTTTAAAATAAAATTAGCTTGTTTTTAAAAACACTTGAAACATCTAAAGGTTATTTTAAGTGTTTTTAAAAACAACTAAACATGTTATATCATACAAAACACATTTTAAAATAAATTAAAAGTAAAAAATAAAAAAATTAAAATTAAAAGTGATCCTAAACGACCGCATAACGATCCAATTTTTTTAATGAGGATTGTTAGTATTGTCGATTTTCCAATCACACCATTGCAAATAAAGATGTGTAGATTCCATCCAATCAAACATCATACAAAGAAAATCAAACTCTCAAAAAATAATCATTAGATTTAAATTCATATTATAATAAGATAAGGATTGATGTGTGCTAGAAAATTCTCGACAGTAGATTAATGAATTATCGTGTCAGTGTTGTACGAGAATTCTGCACACACTTAGATAAAAAAAAACAATAGAAACACCATAAGTTTTTATGTGAAAAACACAAAAAAGGAAAAAAACCATGAGGTCTGATCTAGCTGAAGATATCCACTATAAACTGTTGATTACAAGTACAGTCCCTCGTCCCACAGAAAAGAAAGGGTTGAACACTTTGGAGTTACAACATCGGTGCACAGATAAACTTATTGTAGGAAGTGGACGACAACCAATGGTGATAGGCGGCGACCGACAGGTGATGGTCGACTACGGTCAGCGGTAGTCGACGAGGGTCAGCCGGTGGTGGTCGACGATCAGCAGGTGGTGATCGACGACAGTCGACGGTTGCAGAAACGGCGCTGGACTTGAGCTCATTCTCAAAGCTTCAAATTATTTCTCAAGCCTAAAATTTTCCTCCACTCATGAGAGAGGTGAGGCTCTATTTATAGAATTCTGGGTGAAATTAATGTCGGAAAATAAATCACTTTGATTGGACGGCCCGGAGAGATTACCTTGATCAAACGGCATTTCAAGAACATTTGAATGCATTAATGATGTCGGAATTAAGTGATCTTAGACTTATTGGATTCATCTTGTCGAGACGCTTGTATCTACTATAAGCTTACCAAGTTCAGCATTTGTTTGACCTTTTAAATATATTCAAAAAGCTTTCAAGATTGGTTTAATGTCTTAATCTGAGCTTGATTTGACTTGGATTTAACCAATTTTGATATCAATGAGTCTTTTTTGTCGATTCGGTCAGTTTGATTGTAAGTTTGTTGAAATTGAAGTTTTGGATGACTTTTAATTGAAGTTCTAACGTTCATTAATCAAAATGTTGCCTCGAGATCTATGTTATGCCTCAAGATTTGTGTCGCTTGATGAAAATTTGTTGAAGGTGTATTAGTTGTCACTCTATTTTAGGGCGAGATCAAGTTCATCGTCCACAAATATCAAAATCCTACCCAACAGGTGAGTCGGGATCTTCTTGCATATTGCTACTACGCATTCTAATAGAAATGAAAAAATGTTAAAAGTTTTCCCGCCGCGCTTTGAGGGGGAGTAGATGATCATAATGTATTTTTTTATACGTCTTTGACGTTGATTCTGAGGTTGTTATGGCTTCTTAATCATGTGAAATTCTTCAATTAAGGTTAGCACGCACACTTTATAAAATAGAGAATAGAGTACCTTTTGAGGCTTGTGCCTTTTGAGGTTGTGCACACTAGGTGTATGCCTTCTAGGAGCTTCAAATGTGTTGGGCTTTGATGTGTCTGTGTTTCTTGAGGCTTGTAGCCTTTTGAGGTCTTTGATGAACCTGTGTCTTCTGAGGCTTTTAGCCTTCTAAAGTCTTTAAGTGAAGACTTTATTAACCACTTACTCTTTTGTAGTCTTTTTAATAAGTACATGATCCATTACTAGCTTCCGATTGAGACTTATCTCTTGGGCTTGTCTTCTAAGGGTATGGTTGAAAGAAGAATCCATTAAAGATGTCAAACCCGTCCTAAGTTGTATAGTCGGATATGCTCGACGGCATGAACCTGTAATAGACAAAGTTATATGAAACCTACTGAGGATGGTTGACCCATCCTAGGTTGTTGGTCGAAACTTTTGCTTGACGACCGTAACCTGTTATGTAAGAGGTCAAAGGAAATCCACCAAGGACTTTTGACCTATCTGAGGCTGTTAGTCGAAGCTTCTGCTTGACGACTGTAGTCTGTGATGGAAAAGGTCAAATTGAGTCCCCTTGGGATCAATTAAGCCCAAAATGAAATGTCAGATGCTTTGCATTTCTCGATACCAGGGTGTAAGTTGCAATAGACCATATGTTTTCTTGAAAATATGGTTGCAGTCATACTCAAGAATAATGTTTGACAGCTTGTTAGTTACTGCTCTTGAATCTTTTGCACCTCAAAGAGGGTGCTTCTCACATGATTTTGTAAAGCAGCCCATATATCGAATCTTAAAGATATCAACTTCTTGATCTAGTTATATAGGAACGCTAGTACAATGAGGGGCGTGGCGTTGAAGAAGTTTTGTTTAGACGAAGATTGCCCCCAATCTAGAAGAACTTGTTGTCTGAATGAAATGTGGAATGACTACCCCACCACATTCGTGCCCGAGACGTTAACGTGAACGACATTTCAAGATTGAAGTGAAAGTTGACTGTCAACCTGGTAGTTGTGAAAGATTTTTTGTTTGAATAGGATGTCAGAAGACAACCCCATTATAATCATGCCCGAGACGTTGACATGAACGACTTTTCGAGACTGCACTAAAGGTTGCCCCAACCTAGAAGAATTTGTGAAATAATATGTCTGAACATAATACGAGAAGACAACCACACTACGATCGTGCCCGGAACGTTGAAGTGAACGATCTTTAGAGACTACAGTGAAGGTTCCCCCACATCGAATAATGCTCCAGAGATGATCTTCAAGTTGTAAAGGAGGTTCCTTCGCCAATTAGAAGATGTGCATAATTGGAAAATGAAGTAGGAGTTTGGCATCTTAGAGTCAAAGACAATGTCGAGTGGCACTTTGTTTCCCACAAAAGATGTCAAACTACTGCGTGCTAGAAAATTTGTGGCGGTAGAGTAATGGATTTCATCTTAGCATTGCATGAGAATTCAACGCACAATTAGATAAAAGAAACAACCAGTAGAGACATTATAAGTTTTTATGTGAAAAACCCAAAAAAGTGAAAAAATCACAGGGTCTGGCCCAACTGATGAAATTCACTATAAACTGGTGATTATAAGTATAGTCCCTCGTCCCACAAGCGGGAAAGAGGTGAACATTCTTTAGAATTACAACATTGGTGCACGGATGAACTTGTTGTAAGAAGAGGACGGCGGTCGATGGTGATCAGCGGCGACCGACAGTTGGTGATTGATAACGATGGACGGTGATCTACTACGATCGAAGGTGGTCGGCAGGTAGTCGTAGAGGTCGATGGCGATAGGAGCGGTGTTGGACTTCAGCTCCTCAAAGCTTCAAGCTCTTTCTTAAGCCTCAAATTTTCATCCACTCATCAGAGGGGTGAGACTTTGTTTATAATATAAAACACTTTAATCAGACGGCCTGGAGAGATTCCCTCGATCAAATGACATTTGAGTGTCTTAATGATGTCAGAATTGAGTGATCTTGATCTCGTTGGATTAGTCTTATCGAGACGCTCGATTCGACTATAAACATACCAGGTTCGACATTTGTTTGACCTTCCAAATATATTTTGAAAGCTTTCAAAAGTGGTTTAATGACTTGATATGAACTTGATTTGACTTGGATTTGACCAATTTTGGTACCACTGAGTCTGTCTCGTCGAGACGGTCAGTTTGACTGTAAGTTTGTTGAAATTGGAGCTCTACATGACTTCTAATTGAAATATGAATCTTCTTTGATCAAAATATTGTCTCGAGATTTGTGTTAAGCCTCGAGATCTGTGTCGCTTGATGAAAATTTGTTGATGGCGTATCAAGGATAAACCTCAACATTTTTTAAACTTATGTAACAAGCTTGGTTTTTTTTTTATTTGAATTTACAACTAGGATAAAATTCTCCTAGAAATATCTTTAAATTTGGTGTTATCTAATTTTTTAGATGAAGAGTTAGTTGTTGATATTGTGGAGGTTGGTTGGAAATTAATTTTCTATTGTTGTGGAATTAATTTATGATGGATAGGGTTACCCGTGAGACACTCCTAAACTGGTCATAACTTGTCATAAAGAAGAAATAAACTATTGTTATTTGCCTACAACTATCCATAAACAAAAATAGTGAAAATGTTGACTGTTTTCAGCAAATTAGAGATCCTCCAAAAGAAACAACAATTGAATTAACCTTTATTTTAATTAATAGATCGCTAGAGTTCTTCCAAAATAAATTTCTACTTGTTATCCATTTTAGCATCTTGTCGTGAGCTTAAGTAAAAACATTGAAAGGTTTGCAATAAATCAAGTTGGTATCAAACATCAATCATCGGCGCATGGTACAAATAAATAAAAAATATAAAAATAAGCACGACTCACCTTTTCAACTTGAAGTCGCACTGAAGGCCAAGAAGGAGACAAAAAAAAAAAAAAGAAGAAGAATAAATCATTCTGCAGTCAAGCTTACCAAGTGGCTAGCTTGACTGAATAGATAGCAGTCATGATAAAGTGGATGGGGATGGTGGTTCAAATCATATCGATCCTACTTCCATGCAAAATGCAAACATGGATGGAAAGGGTGAAAAAATAGAGGAGTTAATGAGTTAGTAACCTGACACGACAACCCAACAGCCCGAACATTAAAAAATCAGGTTCAAAATGACCCAAAATAACCTGCTTTATTTTAAGGTTAAAAATGCATTCTCTTTAACTAGTCATCAACCCTCTATCTCAATGGGTCATATGAGGTTAAGTGGTTGTATTAACACAATGAAAGTTCTATCAAAGATATAATAAATAGGTTAAATGTGTTAGGTTTGACTCGATCAGGCTTGTGAAAAGTGAATTTCGGCCAAATATTTTGACCAGTACAATAAACAGGTCGAGTTCGTATCAAGCAATTATGGATCGGGTTAAATTCAACTTTGACTTGAAAGTTTAAACGTTAGATATGTAGGTACATAAGCATTGCAGGGTATGTATGTATATCTCCCTTATTTTTATTTATAGGTTTACATTTAAAATGTTGTAAATTCAAGAGTTTACAAGTACACATAATCTTTTTTTTTTAAACGTGGGTTCACGGGATGGCCAGCTAAGTCCATTAGCTTGACCAATGTTGAGTATTTCCTTGCCACTTGTTCCAGCTACGATTGGATATCTTGTTTTCTATATATCCAGATAATCGAGTCCTTGGGCATCCCAGATAAACTGTAAAAATAAATGCTTCAATTCATTGCTATTGGAATTAAACTTATTCAATTTTTTTTTGGAAAAGTAAGCCAACATGTCCGCCGACTATTTGCAAGTGGCCAAAATAGTCTCGGACTATGTAAAAGGTAAATTTACTCCCAAGAATATGTAAATTGGAACCAAAATAATTCTCAAACTCATCAAATGTGAACTTAAATAGTCCCATTGAAAGACCATTTTGCTTCTTATTTAAATAATGTAATGAATAAATTGGTCTTCTACATAATCTAGGGTCATTTTGGCACCTGCTTGATCATTTTCTCTTTAAATTAATCTTCAAATGACAAAAGTAGAAAAGAAACTATAAAGTATTCCAATATTAGGCTGAAAGAAAAATTACACTCATAAAGGTTCATTTATGAGCTAGGAGATGAAAAACTTCATGTTAATACTCGTCAGAAGCATTAAGCAACTAAATGAACAGCTCAAGTCTAATTAGCTTTTAATTATCCTTTTATTTTATAATTTCGTTTTCATTCTATGAGCATACTTATGATGAATATCTATAAAGACAACATGTGTTTTTCATTTGATTCTTTTGTAGGTTGGTCATTTATAGAGTTTGACATGAAATCATGCTAAATAAGCTTGCAATAAATATCTAGTTAAGCAATAATGATTCAAGTGTCATGAAAATTATTGCTAAAGGAAAGTTTGCATAGATTCAAGAATAACAGGTGGTTTAGTTTCTCAATTCTCTCTTTCTTTTTTACATGAGTTCAAGAATGAAGGGTAACATTACCCATGACATTTTCATTATCACAAGTTTTTTTTGGGGAGGTTATTTCCTGGTTCAACATTTCATCTTTGATATAATTTTGCATCATTAATCCTTACAGACATTATGATTTTTTACGTTGTGTTGTATGCAAATATGCTATGTTAGACGCCTGGATAGCATAGTTCATGAGATTTCTCTAGTCATTGTTGTTTCAACTTTGTAATGATTAACGCTGCTTGGATTTTGGAAATTGTTGACCCATGAAAGTAAAATTTCATCTCGCAATTGAAGGGAGAGATTTTTTTGAGGTTTTTTTTACTTGGAGAATGAAGGGAAAATTCAAGGAGCATTCGGAAGAATTTTCAGGAGCGATCGAAACTAAAGAAGACGTCCAAGAAAGTGATTATGAGGGTGAGTGATTGATGACTTGAGTGAGAGTGAGTGTTTTGAGTTAATGTGAATGGGCGTAAAAAGAGGAGAATTCGGTTGAAAGCATTGTACGGGCTTGCAATTCAGTGGAGCAAATCTAGTTGAGATTATTCTTAAACATTACTAACTTTGGTTTTTGCAATGAAATCCATGTTGTGTTCATCTCTCGTGATTAAAAACTAAAAACTTCTATTCCTTGAATTTGTAATCCAAGTAATTTAGAATTATTCATGTCTTGCGATTATTAAATCTTGTCAGGCATATTGATATGTTAAATTTTTGTAATTAATTTATTTCTCAATTGGCATCTTAGAAGGTTAAAATGGATTGTGCTCTAATACTATGAAAGTAGACCAGTGGAACAATTAGGTAAAAATACATTGTCTTAGGATAATAGGAATATTGTAGCTAGGATAATGCAATAGCGTAGAAAAATACGGAAACATGGAGGGTTTTGCATGATTTAAGGAATTAAATTGTAATATGAATCCCCGAAATTTCTTATGAATTTCAAAGAAGCTAAGGAATAATGTTGTTCCTGGTTGTCAACAACAGTAGTTGATTGATTGACTGGTTTTCTTAGGTCCAATTCACAGGAGATTTGTCACTTGCAAGAAAACCTTCATCTCTAATTTAGGTTTTTATTTTTGAAAAATTAGGATTAGTCACTTTAAAATTTACAAAAGTTTTAACTTTTCAAACTAAATTTAGACTTAACAAACTAGATGTTTCACATGTTTTGGAAATTAACAAGCTCTTTGTAGAATCAATACATTGACTCAGATCCGTATATTGCCTGAGTGACACGTATATTAACAAGTGCTTGACAGCATTGCAGCATCAGTATCAATGTGGGTCTTGAATTTTCTTCGCTTTAGTGAATTATTTACTTAAACAAAAACATCATAAATAAATTGTTATTGAACCAAAGAAATGACTAATTATCTTCGTTTTTGCTGAAAGTGTTGACAACATAATAACTAGTTGCAATTTAATTAGTTCCAATTATCATTTTGTTTTTTATAACTTTTATTCCCATTTTAAGTATTTTGGGCGTGCCTATAACAAGTATCGATGAAGTTGGAATGTGTTCGTCATTTGATTCTTTAGTGATGGTTTGGTTTATATAATTCAAAGAAAAGTCATGATAGTTTGTAATTAAGCACTAGTGAAGTCTTATGATTCATTTAACATGAAACTTTGACTTTTTCCCCCCACTAGTTCAGAAAACAGCAGACAATATTATTCACGGTAATTTTGCAATCACAAGTTTTTAATTAAGTTACTTGCAATCAACATTTCACACCAAAAATGATTTTATGCATATATATGCAATGTTTGACATCTAAATAAGGGAGGCCGTGATATTTCTCAGCACCAATGTTTGACTTTTTCGATGGTTTTAAAGGTTTGAATTTACAGAATTAAGGAAACTAAATTGTTGAGATTTTTTACCATTTCTTATAACCTAACGATGTTCTATAATAGATTCCTTAAAAGGGTCTCGTGATTAAATAAATTTTAATTTACAATCTCATGCGTACAAATTGGACTTGAGATTCCTTATGATATGATACAAGCATGAAATATTATCTGAAGGAAGTCATCTCCTTGTACCGACATGAAGCTAGTTTTTCCTCTTTTGGTGAACTATTTACTTTATCTAATTTCTCACAAATAAGTTGTTATTGGCTTGCAAGATTTCATAATTTTAGTTATAAAATTGAACTAGATTTTTTTTAATTAAACTGGGTTTTTTTAAAACAGTATATAGACAGTTATATCACTCAACAATAAAAAGAACCTGCAAAGGTGATGAAGAACAAAAGCTCGCTGCAGGTAAGCATCTGAAAGTCCGGAATGTGCCTCAATCGCAACATTAAGAAGTTCTAATGCTTCACTATAATGTTTTAGTTTTATTCTTTCAGATGCTCGCTTCACTAATTTTGCTGCCTCAACTTCTTGACTATCTGCATTACAAATAAGTAGATTAGCAAAAGTAACGGAAGCAATACGATTCCCATTGACAAGCATATAACTATTCACTAAACAATAGAACATCACGCTAGACATTAAAAAAAAAGTTAAAAATAGAATGTTGTAGTTTCAGAACGTGCCAACTCAGCTTATTCTTGATTCTTCATTGATCAAAACATAATCAGATATTTTGGATAATATGTGATGCTTATAAGACACGCAAAACTTTGTAAGAAAATAAACACAACCCAAGATAATGTTTCCTTAGAATTCTAATCTTCATCATAATTTTATCTTTTCATGAAAAAAAGCATAAAAATCATTAAGTGCAATGATATAAACACCTGGTTAACCTTAAAAAATTTAATGGTATATAAATTCATTTCATAGTAAAGCATATTATTGTATATAAAACCAAGTACATTTAGGTATATGGAATCATCTGAATTATAACATTATTTTCATAAAGTACATGTTAATTTACAGTTTGATATTTTCCATCTTATGTAACGTTCATCACTTTGCCAATAAGCCTAATCTTAATAGCAAAGTTAAATCATACATGCCATTCATTTTCCCATGTACCACCTTTACAGGGGAATTTACATACATACTGCCCAACTCTTATGTCTTCGCATAAAACCTAAAGTTTGTCTTTTATATTTATACCTCCCAAACTTTTCATATCACATCAAAAATACCACCATTTTAACTTTTAAAAAGTGATTTAAACATTTTCATGCATAGGAGAGGTGGTATGTATGTAAAAGTCAAAGTTTAGATGTTAGAACTGTAAATACACAGGAATTGAGTAGTGTGCATGTAAATCTTCATTTTTATTATTAGGTAAGTCCATCGAGGCTACCCTCCCACTTGTGTAACTATCTTTAAATCACCATTATGAATAGTTTTCCTATTCTTTCATGCCTAAGCCAATCAGTTCGCCACATAAATACCTTTCTATTCATCAAGTTCATATCATGTTTAACTCTACATAATATGGTGCAATATTTCCTGCCAGTATACAATACAAAAAAATACAGTGAAGTTATTGAAATAAAATGAAATTGGAAAAATTCCTACGTGCTAAATTCAAACATAAATATTCCTCCATGCAATATGCATAATTAAATTCCGTGACAATTAAAGAATATTTAATTTGCATCTTACAACGTTCAGAATTTGTTAGAACTTAAGAAATATAAATTTCTCATCTATGCCTAATAGACTCAATCACATTCTTTTAATGTTTCACTAACAAAAGCATATTATGTCCTCGACCATAAATTGGAAAAAAGAGAATCTTAAATCATAGTATAAAACCGCAATCTTTCATATTCCATCAAAGCTACATATAAGTTTTGGATTCTAGTTTTCCGATTATACACTATAGTTTTAATATGAATGTGAGTTTAAATTTTATTAAAACTTGACAAAAATCCATAATTAAACCATATAATTCACGCATTACATGCATATAATTTCATTTGTAACATTGACATAATTTCACCTCGTAATTTTTAAGCTGATCTAACCCTGTTCAAATATACATCTAAGATTGACTCCATGAAATCTTACTAAATCAGAAATTAAGAAGACAATTATTGCACTAATCACATAGAAAACTCGAGTATAATCTATTTCTTCGACTTCCTTGTACCATTCTTATCCTTAATGAATTTACGTTCATGAAGATTCATTAAAATAAAAACATATATATAATAAAATTCCTGTGCTTAAAGTTCATTTAATTTCAAGTTTAACGCATGAATTAGTGCATGCTTTTACCCCATCTTGTCCAAACTCTTCATTAATATTTTGTAAAATAAATCCATGAAAATTATCATAAATTAGGTAAACACTATAAAATTTTCTGCACTAAACTCCTTCACAAAACATAAGAAATAAAACAAATTTTTCATGTGTACACAAATCCATGCAAACTTAATAAAATATAAAATTAGAAAATTTACATTTAGTCTCAAGTATAAAAACCATAACAAAAATCTATTAAAAAATTTAACAATTTTTTATTTACAAATTTAAGGTATAGCGACCTACTTAAAAAGAGGAAAATTTGCCCTAAGCTTCCGCTCTTTTGCTTTGTCTCTCCATCTTCTTCTTCTCCCTTAACAAAGAACTCCAATTATTCCCCAAAATTAAATTAGTGGGCCCACCACAACTTTAGAAAAAATAATTCGTGAAAATTCCAAATGGGGAATGGTGGAAAATAATATTTAAGAGGTAGGGTAGTAAAGGAATAATTAAATTAGAAAAGGAATGATACAATTAACTTTGTGGTGTAAAGTATAATAATTATTCATTAATTTATGAGAAAACCAGACATAATATCCCTTTTAATAAAGTTGTGCAATAGATTTCGTATAATAATGTAAAATTAAATCAATATAGCGATTTGAATATTCAGTGATACAGCGAAAACCAATCAGAATTTAAACAATGGAATCTTTAAGAATTAGCAATATTTTAATCATGAAAAACAAATTATGTAATTTCATGAGATAATTTCTTTAAAATTCATATTCATGCATTTTCATAACTTCAAAATTTAATGCTAAATTTATTTAATATGATCATCAAATTTCAAATATTTAACAATTATTGTTTAAATTCAAGTTCTTTTTATGAAATCATCCCTCCTTGTAAATTTTCATGCTCAAAATTTAAAAAAAAAAAGCAGGTACAGTTGTCTGATTTTTCATATATAATTCTCTTTCCAAAATTTCAACACTATTAATTACAGTTTCCATCACATCTTAGCCATAGGGATTCTTTTATTAATGAGTTCCTTCATATTGTAAGCAAAAATTATTTTTTATTTTTAAAAATCAGCTTACCTAAACTTCTATTTTTAGCTTAAGGAACTCTTTAATCATCATCATTAGTAAACCCAATTTATCAACAATTTTATATAAAGTACATCATTTATATCCTGAAAGTGATGAGGAAAATGCAATCTATAAGCTAAATTTTCAATCCTTTATATTATTTCAAACAACCCAAAAATTCTTTCTTTTGCAAATATGATCACACCTTCTAACTTTCAAAATAAAAACTTTAAAAATATGTATATCTTAATTTTAAGTTCCACAATTCTGCATTTTAGATTATAATAATTCCATTGTCCGGCTTGAGATATCTTCGTTAAATTATTGATAATTCTAATTTCTCAATGGCATCATCTACCAATTAAGGTCCCATAAAATTTTTTCACCAACCTCTATCCGACTCAAACGTTCCTAGAACTTCAATCATGTAATGCCTTACATGTTAATGTTATTGAACTGAAAATTATTACCATACGCAAACTGTATTACAGGCATATAATCTTCCCAATTATCTCTAAAGTTCAATAAACCAAATCTCAATAAATTTTTTAATGATTGGATCACCCTCTCTGACTATCAACCTGAGGATGAAAAGTTGCACTGAAAAACAACTTAATTCCTAAAGCTACTGACACTTACCTCCATAATTTAGATGTTAAACTATTACCTCAATCTAATACAATCAATTCAGCAATTTCAATGCAGCCTCATAATACATTTTGCATAAATATTTGCTAATTTTCCAGCTTAAGATTTTTGCTCGATGATTAGAAAATATGCAGATTTAATCTACACTAAATCATATCCTTGCCTAAACATGAAAAAAGCTATAACAAAATCTATTGTGACTTCTTCCCACATCCGCTAAAGAATAAGCAGATGCTGTAACAATCCAATAAGCTTTAATGTTTTGCTCTCACCAGCTAATAAAATAACATTATTAGCAACACCTTCAACTCGGGCAACCAAATAAAATTTTCAAATTTTTATACATTTTATCACTACCAAGTTGAATAGTACAGCATGCATAGTGTGTCTCCATCAATAATTCTTTTCTCAAATCACAATATAGCATTGATAGTCCTTCATCACATTTTTTACACCACTTGATATTTAATTAATTTTTTGTTCATACTCACATATGTACAATCAACTCACATTCTTCATATCAATTATTTAGATTGTTTGAATTTACTATTACAAACTTGGCTGTATAATCATTTAACATAATTTCCCAACATCAATAAAATCCTCTTTTTTTCACTTGAAAAAAGCTATAGCAAAATCTATTGTAACTTCTTCCCACATCCACTAAAGAATAAGCAGATGCTGAAACAATCCAATAAGCTTTAATGTTTTGCTGTCATCAGCTAGTAAGATAACATTATCAGCAATATCTCCAACTCGGGCAACCAAATAAAATTTTCAAACCTTTATACATTTTATCACTACCAAGTTGAATAGTACAACATGCATAGTGTTTCTCCATCAATAATTCTTGTCTCAAACCACAATAAAGCATCGATAGTCTTTCATCACATTTTTTACACCATCTCAATATTTAAATATATTTTTGTTCATGCTCACATATGTACAATCAACTCAAATACTTCATATCAATTATTTAGACTGTTTGAATACTCTTACAAACTTGGCTCTATAATCATTTAACATAATTTCCCAACATCAATAAAATATTTTTTTCACTTCCAGCTCCATTCTTTCCAAGTCTCTTATCAATTTTTTCTATGTTGTAAAAAAAAAATACATATCTACCAGATGATATTATCCTTAAGGCATTCTTTTTAAAATGAATTTTTTTGTAAAAATTGAATATCCAAATAAAAGTCTTTTAATATTTCAAACATCTCCTTTGCCTTAAATCCAACTCTTTATACTTCAAAGTCTAAGGATCAGTGAATATTTTACAATTTACAATTTTATTACATATAAAAAATGTTGCTAGGTTTACAAAGCAAATATCATTGTCGTCAATTCTAAGTTGTGAGTGGATAATTCTTTTCACGTGCCCGGCATTATCTAAATTCCTATGCAATTATCTTCTCATGTTGCATTCCAAATCTCTTAATAAAGCAACACTGTTTATTTGAAATCACTCAACACCAAATAGAATTGTCAAAATATGAGCAAATATTAAACAATTCTTTATAGTCAACAAATTACCATCACACTGAGCAACTCGCTCAAAGTGTACTATCTTCTAAATTAATATTGTTAATAACACTATTATCTATTAAAATCAATGCACAACTTCTTATTATAAGTTGTCATTCTCAAGAAATTTCCTAAAATACATTGGATGGGCTAGGCTATTTAGCTATACTACTATTTTTTAAGGATCAATGAAGATAGCATTATCATTGATTAATATTCATAACTTAATAACCAAAATTAAAATTAAGAGAATTTTTCAGTTAATTGTTTCTCCCTTGGAATTGCTAATATTGAATGAATTGCTAATCATCTTTATTTTTAGTGTAGCAAAATACGATTCATAAGAACCATAATTAATCGATTCATAAGAACCATAACAAATCGATTCATATATGGTTAAAAATTTATGTTTGTCATATCCATGAAAACTACAGATGCATTAATCACATTAAAAGACTTAACAAGAAGTTCATAATGCCCATAGCAAAGATGAATGCAGTCTTTGTTGCGTTTTTATCATTCACTTGCAGCTGATGATAACTTAATCTCAAGTCAATCTTGACAAATATCCAAGCTCCTAACTTACGAAAAAATCATCTATTCTTGGAATGGGATATGTATTCTTAAAAATAGCTTTTTACAGCTTCACGTAATCTATGCACGATCCTTATGTTGTCTCTTTTTCACGCAAAAAAAATTAAGGATCCCAATGTACAGCCAGTTGAGCTTATAACTAAACTTTCAATTCCTACAATTTTGTTATAACCATTATATAAAAAAAATTTATATTGGTTAAACATGTACCCTTAATAGTGAATTCTACGTATCTTTCGAGGGGTAAACTCAGCAACTATTTGAAAAATACATGAGTTCCTTCATCACGAGTACTTAATTATTTTAACTAGCTTGCTCACACCTTACCAATTAGCTAAAAATATTGTGCAAGCCTTTTGCCATTGCAATCCAACAATCAAAAAGATGTAAACATTCTTGTTTCCTCTTCTCCATTGTCTAACTATAAACTCCCTATTTTCCGCTTACAATCTATCTGGGCACCATATCCTCCCAACCAATGCATTCCCAACACGTATCATATAGAATTATGGATAGCATAATCAATTTGAAATCCAAAATTTTTATCACCAATTTCTATCTCACAATAACATATATTGCCACTTACTAGTTGCCATATTGTCACCAACTTGTATGCTACAAATAGACTAGTATGTAATTTCAAGTATGAAAAATGTAAAATGTCAGATAAATTATCTGAAACAAATGTGTGACTAGATTAATATTCATAGATGTGAGTTATAATTGCAACTATATCTACAGAATCCTTTGCCTCCTATTGACTCCAAGCATAAACTCTAGCTTGAATTAGTGGTGTTGATGATTCAGCTTTCTAATTCTATTGTTATCTTTGCTAACTAGTCTTGTCCACATATTTTGTCCTACAAAACTACAAATCTAGGTCTTCGCCTTTGTTCAGCATTCTAACTTATCTTCCTTTTGGTTCTAGCAAAGAGCAATCTTTCATTTTTGTGACAAATTGAACCGCATTTAAAGTATTGTACTGTGATTAAGAAATATCTCCCCTTGTCTTTTTCCACAAACTATACAAACTCTAACATCTTAGAGATGACATACTCTTCTGTCATTGCTTTTTGGTAACAAATAATGATGTTATTGTGAGGAAAAAAAGAACCTCTATTGAATCCTTCCATCTCTAGCATGTGCCTGCTCCTTTTTGCATTGAACATATCAATTTATATCAAATCTAACCCTTTCAGCCAACTCAAACTAATTAGTGACTTTGAAAGGTATTAAGGGTCGTCTAATATTGTTTGTTAACCTTCTCATATGAGAAGAGAAACTTCAATAAAATCATTAAAACATGACAAAAAGAGCAAAGGTATTAAAATTGAAGTTAGAACTTCAATAAAATCATCAAAGCATGACTAACTACAAAATTCATTATTATTATAAATAACTTGTGCATAATGCAAACAATTTAGAGCCAACCACGGAACACTCGCCACTCGTACTTGTTTTAGAACAACATTTAGTGTTAAATCTCATCTAAAAAATAAATCTCATCTAAAAAATAAACACATGACATCTTAGCATCAAAATCTCCTTAATTTCTTATGTCTATCATGATAACTCTAACTTCCTATCTTAAGAGTGCCTCGTCTTCCTGGGTCCCATACGCAAAAATAAACTTCCATTAATTTTTGTTATCTTAACCAAAACGATAGCCAAGAGAACAATTCTGTCAAACATATTCACTTCACACTTTATCCATCTTAGTTTAATACAAATCCATCATTACTACTTTTGATCTTTTCTCCAATCAGTACAATTTAAAAGGAAAGCATTTAAATTTAGCATATAAGCAAACAGGTATAAAATGAGTAAAAAAACAAGAAAACAAAATGGACAATGTTTCTTAGTAACTTTATGGCTATTGATTATATCACTGTCAAACAGTTAGAATGTCCAATAAAGAAAGAAAAGAATAAAAATTTTGACCCTAAATCACTAGGTTGTAATTTAAAACCCAATAAATTGAGTTGAGCAAGATTCAAAGGCTTAAAAAGCTCGTTGAGAATTGTTTGAAAAAAAAAACTTTAATTGACTGCTATCATAATAAAGCACAGAAAACTAAAAAGTACTTCCACATCAAAAGTCAAAAAACAAACAGAATTTAACTCCTAATATACTAACAGTTACTCTTTAACTATTGACTTCAAATTTTCAAGATAAACGGATGCCCGTCCAAAAAAAAACAATCCTCTGACATTTTATTACAATTTGCATATCAATTTACAGCTACTTCTAAAGCAACGCAACCTCAATCTTAACACAACTTTTGCCAAACAAGTTAAAGTGGAATATTATGTTTATGTCAACCTCAATCTTAACACAACTTTTGCCAAACAAGTATATTTTTACAGGACACCACAACACTATAGCACAGTATAACAGACATCAACGCTAAAACCAATCCCAATAAAGGCACCGCAACCCTAAATGATATTATTACTCCTGAATATAAATGTATTCATCAATACAAAAAAAATGAGAATTAGAGGAAAAAACAATAGAACTTCTAGAAAATGATAGATCAAACATCTAACTAGCTCGAAAAAATCGCACCTTGGCCGGCGACAAGTGAACATCGAAAAGCGGATGCAAGGCAGAAGAGAACGATAAGAGGAAAGATAAACCCGCCAGAGCCGGAGGTATTCGCCGCTGCAAGCATTGCTTGTGGGAGGAGCAGAGCAGGAGGGGCAGAGAGGAAGAGATCTTCAACAAAAATTATGGAAATTAAAAGAAATCCCGCGCAAGCATTTCTTCCTCGATCCTCTCCGCTCAGAGGATCATTTTATCTGTGGGATTAACGAGATTAATAAGTCTGTAATGTGGTTGCATCTAGAGAGCACAAGGCCACGTAAGAGGAACCAATGGGTTCGGGACAAGTGGAGACACGGGAGAACATGAGTTGCAATGGGCCTGAATGGGCTGACTGTTTGATAAGCCGGCCACTTTGATTTTTGGGGTGATTCAAAAACATACCACACAAATCCTATGTATTTACATATTGAACACCTAAATTTTGATATTTACATTAATAACATTTTTTTATGTTATAAACATATGGATGAGATGATAAGATACATTTAACTTTTAAAAACATAATAATGATAGTATTTATGACTTGATTTTATAATTTTGAATGAAGCATATAAATCTAAAAGTTTAAAGGTTAGATACGTAAATAAATAAATAGTGTGTGATATCTATTAAATGACCCTAATTTTTTTATTATTTAATTTTAAGTAAAACAAATATAAAAAATAATAATTCAGTTTAAAAAAAGGCATTATAAATCTTAAACCAAAAAGGCTTTATTTTATATATTAAGATATTATTAGGCTTAAGATAAATAACTGAGAAACGTCACTTTATCTATGAGAGAACTTGTAACTATTTTAATAATATGTTAAATAAATAAAAAATGATTCACTCCTCAATTAAACTCACAGCATAACTATTTTAGTCTTTTGAATTTTTAAAATAACAATTCACTTAATTTTATATAGTATTTTTATAATTAAAATAAAATATTACAATTAAATAAATTTATTTTTAAACAAATATAATTGAAAATTGCTATTTGTGTCAATATTTCGTTAAGAACAAACATTACGAATAATTGATTAACAATAAGATGTGATAGATTCTTCTGACAAAAAGTAAAAGGGAAATTCACATGCATACCATACAATTCTCATGCATTTACATATGTAGCTGCCAAAGTTCAATATTTACACTTGTAGCGTATTAGTATTATGAGCGTATTGCACCGACAAATAGTTCCACATCGGCTAGGTGTAGGGCCGAAAAGCAGTATTTAAGTCTCGTGCTGCCCACCTCTCTTAAGGACTCTTTTGGGAGGTGACAATATGCATGAAAAGTGTAAATCATGTTTAAAAAGATATTAATGGCAATGTTGTTTATGTGATGTTTTAAGGATTAGAATGATATGCATGTAAATATAAATGAATGTTTTATGCAAATATATAAGAATTGTGTGGTATGTATTTTAATACCCCCAAAATAAAAATGTATTGGAAGAAAACTATTAACAATAAAAGCCTTTTAATCAACAATAAGATTTGAGCCAATCATTAAGACTTTTTTAAGCTCACCCATCAAACTACTTTAAATGATTCTTGTTGAAAAGTAAGATTGATGAGACGAGTACATTTAACACAGCAACAAGCCTTCATCTCATGAATATTGTTTCTCCATTGTATCCTATAAGTGTCATATTTTCATTTAATTCTAATAAATTAATATTATTTCTATACAACATGCACAAGTCTTTTTAGGTCTATCTCTAACTTTTTCACTATAAGTCGAATATAAAACATCTACTCTCCTAACGGGATTATCATATGGTCCTCATTTAATGAGACCAAACCATCTAAGATGACTATCTCTAATCTTCTCTGCCATTGGAGCTACACCAACCCTTTCATGGATACATTCATTTCGCATTTTGTCTCTAAGAGTCAAGCCACTCATCCGCCCAAACATTTTCATCTCAACAATACTTAACTTAGTATTATGCTTCTCTTTCATAGGTCAACATTGTGCGCCATAAATCATTGCAAGACTCACCACTATCATAATTTTTCCTTTACGTCTAAGCAGTACTTTTTTATTACATAATATGTCAGATACATTCATCCACTTCAACCATCCAACATGAATTCTACTAATTACACCCCCATCTATATCACCATCACTTTGAACATCAAACTCAAGATATCTAAAAAGTTCACTCCTTTTAACAATTTGATTACCAATTGTTACATCTTTGTCACTATATTTACAACTACTAAAATTATATTCCATGTATTCAATTTTAGATCTACTCAAACGAAAGACATTGGACTCTAATGTAAACCTTCATAATTCAAGTTTATCCTGAACTCTTTCTCTAGA